ATAGAGTTCCAAATGTAAATAAAGCGTAAAATACTTACAGAAGAGGCACTTAGTCCTCGCACAGAAACAAAAGCAGCAGCTGCGGAAAAGACGATCCTAGCGGGGCTTCAGCTCCGCTCCACAGGCGAAACTCAACTGGGGTCTGAGCCTTGGTCCTCTAACTCCGTCTTCAGCTCAGAAGCACTACACTTCTGAAAAGGGCGAACAATAGCAAGGCTAAGTACAACCACTGTACTCAGCAAGCCACACCAACGATGCATTCGTGCAACGAGAGACAAAGGGAGGTTTGTGGCTATTTGCATAAAGGCGGTTGTAAAACATTTTATTGAGCAAAACAGTAAAACAGTCGAGTAATTAAGGTAATATTAAATCTCCACTGATAAACGCTACACCACGTTGAACAGGTCCAACCAACCCACCTGAACTACAGTGCATTGGGTCGATTTATTAAGTGTGAGACTAATCGCGGTGAATCTGGTCGATCGCCCATAACCGCGGGCACGGCTATTCAAATAGTTTTACTCTGGCCAGAGGTGCACAACTGTACCCACAAGATACAATCCACCGGCATGTCACCGCGTCATCATGTGCCCATGATGCACACGTCACCACGTCGAGTGATTGTGACAAGACACTTCATATAACTCTCCCCTAACCATCCACACCATGCTAAGGTTTCACCCCCACCCCCTACCAAGGAGGTGGGCGGTGCCCTCGTGCGCCGCGGTGAATCCGGCAGCTGGACAACCGGACACCCCGGCCTACCCAACTCCATCACGCCCACCCTCGCCACCGGTGCCTAGGAAAGGGTCGAGCTATAATTCAGATCAAGCAGTTACCCATTCCCGCTTGTGGTAAGCACTAGGGTTTCCCATGAACTGGTCCTTAATTGCCATGGGTGCGACTAGCAAAACTATGCACCCACAACCCACCATTCAGTCGCATTTTAGTTGGATAATTACGACCATGAAACATGGCCAGATGTCTCGAGCACGCAGCTCATTCTGATATTAAAAAGGTCTAATACTGCAATTATGCCATCAACTTAGCTAGTGGTAATTAAGCAGGGCTAAGCATATTGTTCCAGCTGGGTCACATAAGTAACACAAGCTAGGCGATTTATTACCCACGGTTGATAAAGGACAGATATCAAGTAAACATGGCACAAGCAAGTAGATAGGTAAACTCTATTCCCATGTAATTAGCAAAGCATGCATATTTATTTGCAAATGGTAAAACATTTATAAATTGGGATCAACATGCTCAAGGGGAATGTGTGACTTGCCTTGCTTCTTCAAACGATCTTTTGAACTCTTTTTCTCACGATTGCGAACTTCCGAAACGACGGATTCTACATGCTGGCACGCAAAATGAGAAAAAACTCTAATAAAAACCAAGCAAACAGTACATCAAAGTAAACAAACATGTAGATCTCAATTTTAGATGAATTTTGCAAGTTGAATGGCCCAATTTGGAGTTCGTATGAATTAGATATGAATTTTAGAAGTTTTGAGCCATTTAAATAGATTTCTATAATTATTAATGATTTATTGCGCAATTATTAATTATTTTCTCAAAGGAAAAGATTAAGCGCTGACGTCCTCAAAGAGGCTGGCACCGACAGATGGGCCCCACACGTCAGCGGGTCAAGGGGATCGGTCCACCGGGGACCGGGACCACGGGGTGGTCCACCGCTGGTCCACAGGATGGACGGCCCAAATCGGCCAAGCCGATCGGGCGGCAGAGCGACAGCACACGACGGGGCACGGGCACGGCACAAAGCCGGCCAGGCCACTGGCGGCGATGGCCGGCGACGGCGCGGGGAGCGGCAGCGCACACGGACAGCGGCGGCGCACGTGAGGGAGCGGCGCCGCGGTGCGACAAGGGAAGGCCGATGTGCTGGTTATCTCCACCGCACCATCGACCATGGAGATGAAGGTAGCTGCCATCGGCGACAAGGCGGTAGAGGAGCACCTTGAGGATTATTTTTTTCATCTCCATTTAGTTAGAGGAGCGGGTGAGGTGAAGCAATGATTTCTTTGATTGGGGTGATCTGATTCGATTGGATCCAGCTCTTCGCTTCACTAATCCAGCCGCTGCCGCATCTTGATTGATTCGAGCTGGACTGCTGGAGTACACATGTGCCTTTCTTGGGTAAGGGAATGATGGGATGGTTGATTTGGAGGGCTTGGATCGGTTTGGGATTTGGGGAAGTGTCGCAGTTGGTTTTGGGGTAAGCCGAAAATTGGGTTCTTTAAAGGGATTTTTGGATCTGTTCATGCGTTTATGCTTCAACTTTTGTCCCTTTTTTTAAGCTTTGGTTCTTGTTCATGCGTTTAAGTTAGCATGCGGAGTTTTTTTAAAAGAGATATAGTGACTCCTTTTGTATTTCCAAAAGTAAATAAGCTTAAAAACCAACTCAAACATGGATATGTATTTTCAAAAGCGAACGAACTTAAAAACCGACTTAAATACGAATGACGTACTAAAATACCGTTAAAAATATTTTCAATATATCTATTACTAGCTAAAGTGCCCGTTGCAACGGGAAAAAATACGAAAAAGTTGAGTATATAGATAGAGAGGCATGATCAGCAAACAACCAAGTAAGTAAGATGGCAAGTAAGATGGCAAGGTAGAAGGAGAGATAGTGTGGTTATTCTACAGCAACTTAGCCAGGGAGGTGACGTATGCTAGAGCGAGAGGGAATGAGATTTTGTTAGAGATTAAAAAAAACTGATTTTCTAGCCTAATAAGCCGATTATGCGCATGATAAACAAAACTTTCAATCTTTTTATATTTTTTTAGGTACATACATCAATTTCTAGTGCACTTGAAGAGTTTTAGTCACTTCAAGAGTTTTCGGTTTCCCAAGTGAGACAAACTGGTTACACTGGCCACTTAGTACGTATATATAAAATGGGAAATAGAGATTATGTCGATGCGTAAAAAATGTGCAGTATAGAGAATCAGATACAATTTTATACAACCGTGGGCCCAATGGCTGCACGACAGAGGAAACAAACCGCGCGAGGCGTCACGGATCCAATCACGGCGCGTGGCAAGGGGCACATGAAAAAGGAACCCGAGCACGTGCATCTCAGATAAAAAAAAGGCATACACATGTCGCACACAATTATTGTATGAAAAAGAACTTGCATGTGTGAAACAGACTGCAGTTAACATGCGGCTGACATGATGATGATGCCAGACGTAGCAAGGATTTGACGGATTAGAAAACTAACTTACATACGGATAACATAAAAATTAGAAAATCAACTCAAATACGAATGAGTACTAAAATTCCGATGGAAACATTTTCATTTTTTGTAATAGTGGATAGAAAGATATAATTCAAACCAAGTCCTATTAGACTAAAATATTGCTTTGGACTGAAACATATTTTGGACTACAGGAAATCTCAAACTGATTGTAGCCCAATAGGCATTCTGGAGGTATGGCCCAACAGCAATTTCGTTTTTTTTTTCAATGGAAACCGACGGGATTTTGTTTTCATGTAACGGATTTGGTTTTCACGTAATTTTTTTTCTGGAATCGGATAGGATTTGGTTTTCACGTTTTTTTTTTCTGGAATCGGACAGGACTTTTTTTTTCCGAACCAAATACTTTTTAACGGACGATGAAAGCACCTCTTATTTTTTAAATATAACGGATTTGGTTTTCATGCAATTTTTTTTCTGGAATCGGACAGGATTTGGTTTTCACGTTTTTTTTTCTGGAATCGGACAGGACTTTTTTTTGTCCGAACCAAATACTTTTTGACGGACGATGAAAGCACCTCTTATTTTTTAAGTAGGAGAGATATACTAAAAGTCCATTAAATTCCCTATAAACGCTCTTAAGCCACCGCGTGGCACTCCTATAAACGCTTCTAAATCGCCACATCGCATTATATAATCTCACCGTTGATTTTTACTTAAATTGGTGAACCCATTATTTTACACATCGGATTAGATCTATTATTTAATACCTTCCTGTGGGCCGGAAAAAGAATTCCATATGTACGAAAAGACTCCGTACATACGAAACATAAGTATGATTATAAATCTGATTAGAGAAACATTACTTATAAATCTGATTAGAGAAACATAAATACTACGTACAACTCAAAGAAAAAGAGTAAATTATACTAGTAGTCCTTGAACTTGTAACGAAGTTTCACTTATGTGCACGAACTTGCAAAACGCGCATTAAGATCTCTAAATTTGGTTTAATGTATCATCCTGGTCCAAATCCTCATTTGACCGTGGTCTTGTCTATGTGGCATGCTACGTGGACGATGACATGGATTTTTTTATTTTTTCTCCCTTTTTCCTTCTTTTTTCTCCCTTTTTATCCTTTTTTTTTCTCCACTTTGCCTCCTTCCTCTCCCTTCTGCCGTATTTTTCTTCACCCGAGGTGAGGAAGGAGAGAAAAGATGGGGAGAAAAAAAGGGGAAAAGAAAATTTAGCCATGTCATCGTCCACGTGGCATGCCACATAGGCAAGACCACGGTTAAATTAGGCTTTGGGCCGGGATGACACACTAAACCAAGTTTAAGGATCTCGATACGCGTTTTATAAGTTTGTGGATCTAAGTGAAACTTCGTTACAAGTTTAAGAACCGCTAGCGTAATTTACTTAAAAAAACATATAAGCTTACCTACTGCTCACACATGAAGAAAAGAAAATCACGTGCGTAATTATGATAAGAGCAATCTCTACTCTCTATCTCTATTTCTATCTCTATCTCTATCTTTATATACTACTTAAAAAATAAAAGAGATGTTTCCATCGTCGTGTGATAAAAAGATCGAAAAAAAAGAAAAAAAGAAAGTCCGATCCAGATTCAATGACGCGGAGAAAAAAATCCAGAGCGAAAAAAAAGAAAAAAAGGAAAGTCGGACCCTGATTAATTGACGCGGAGAAAAAAAATCCCCCAGATCGCTCTCGTCGTTCGTGATAAAGAAAGGACAGAGTAGGAAAAAAATTGGATCACTGATGAGAAAAAAGAAGACAAAAAAACCAGAATCCAACTCATTCATCAACTCACTCTTACACCTACATACTCATTCATCAAATCCAACGGACGAGAATCATCCACCGCTTTAGATCCAACGAACCATACCTCCCTCACCTCCCACCGCGTACCGCTCCCATCCACGGAAACCGCATGCGCCATCATCGCCGATCTCCTCTGCACCGCCGCCCACGATTCGCCGCCGTCACTCACAAATCGTGGCCGCCAGCCCCACACTGCGACGCCGCCCCTCGCCTCTCCACCGCGCCGCCACCCTACGGCGATCCACCGCTGCCTCCGCCGAAGCCAAGTCACCCATACTCGCTCCTCGATCCTCCCGTCGCCAGATCACCACCAGGCCGCTGAAACCGCCGAAGAAGCTGTCGGGCTCGTCGTAGCCAAGCCGATCTCCTCCGTGCCGCCAGAACTTCATCACCTCTTCTAGAAATACGATGCACACTGACAGAGAGAGAAAAGAGAAGAAGAAAAGCTGCAAAAGCCGGAAAAGAATTGCGGAGGAGACCTCCTCCTAATCGGTGGAAAATAAAAAAAACAGAGAGAGTAGTTCTTGCTTCGCCTGCAAGGAATCCTCTCCGCCCTGGTAAAGATTCCCCCTCTCTCTCTCTCTGCTTGCTGCAATCGATGCTTGATTTCGGTCTGTTCATCCAAGAGGTCAAGCAGAGCTGGTGTTGCTATGTTGTGTTGGATAGATGAGCGGTTTCTTGATTTGTTTTTTTTTTTTTTTTGCCTGGGACGGAGTTGGGGGCGTTGTGTTCTTTTGGGGGGAATTGGGAGGGTTTTGTGTCTAATTGCTGTCACTTTGCTGATCATCGAGTCGTCGTCCGTGGAGAAGGCTGACCTAGTATCCGACTTTCATCCTGTGGTCTGAGATTGAGACAACTAACTTGTTTTTTTTTTAAAAAAAAAATCTGTGTGTTATTCAGAAACCGGATTGTTCAATCTGATAGCCATGCGATGCGATTAATCATCTGTAGATTGTACCGTAGTAATCTGATAGTAATGTGATTAATCATCTGTAGATGATTAAGATAATATCAATTGAGATATCCTCTGCTTTAGCAATTACTGTCAGTATGTGATAGTCTAATAGTTCTGCTCACTTTTTTTTTTGCGGGGAGTTCTGCTCACAATTTGATAATGTGTATCCAATTTTCAGTCACATGGGTCCATAAATAAAATTTAATCTTTCTATTGTTTAATCTTCGTTGTAATGCACTTATTTAGCTAAAGTGGGTAGAAAAAAACAGTAAGTTCGAAGCATAAATATTTTAGTTATTCGCGGTCCTTGCAGCTGACCTAGGTGAGTACGCTTGGTCAATTTCTTGTTTGTCTTTATTTTCCTCACCAACTGTGCAACTGTAAATTGTAATGCTCTTCTTAATTTGATGCCACTCTTTAGTGTTTATCATCGGAAACTTTTGATTACTGACACACAAGGGAGCTTAAGGACTGATGAATATGGTTTAAGATGTAAATGGTTTATGAGTAAATATACTCTATACATTTAAATTAAACTCATCTTTTTCTTCCATCAGAGGAGAAGCTGCCTTGTCCCAATTCCTTGCATTTGATCACACAAATTTTTACATTTCTAAGTGGCAGACGAACAAATATTTAGTTCCAATTCAATGATTCTTTCGCAACAGGCAACTTACAGTCAGCATAAATATTTTTGCTACAAAGGAACAAAGGCGAGTGAATAACTAAAATATTTATGCTTCGAACTCACTTTTTTTCCTTACCCACTGTAGCTAGATGAGTGCATTACAATGAAGATTAAACAATACATAGATTAAATTTTATTTATGGATCCATGTGACTAAAAATGGGATAGATTGTGGATTTCCATTACACATGTTTCATCATTATTATTTTTCCTGACTACATGTTTAGCTATTAAAAGAATAATTATACGAACTGCTTTTTCATGAAAAATTTACCAACATCATTTCCTCATGGAAAATTCTAGCATTTATGCATTAACTAATCATGAAAATTATCGATGACTGACTGGGACGGCATCTATTTGACATTGAAGGTAGCAGTGATTACAAAAATGCATACAACTAAATTGAATAAGGTAACAGACAGTTGCAAGCCCCTTCTGTTGTTGAGGCTGTTTGGAATCGCCTCTTGCTGTGTATTGTTCTGAACAAACATGTCAAGGAAAAACTCAAGCGGTCATAACAAGCAGTACAATTTGTTGCTCCAGGATGGTTTCAACTTTCATATAAGTTATATCTGTTGTGATCTCTTCTCCGTACAATTAATTCCTTTTCAAAAGTTCCCCCTTGCTGCAGGGAGACCGAAGCTTTTTTTATTATTGATGTTATAAGATATTATTGATATATTTTAATCACATTTTAACTAACTTGTACTTGTATATGGGATTTGCAGTGTTCCAAAATTTTGATATGTGATTTGAACCTTTGAAGTAGGACTACCCAACTAAAATTCCTGACTACTCCTGTTCTGTCACTACACGCCTCCACATCCCTACATCCGAGGCTCCTACTCGGCGACTCCGATTGGCAATTGAAGGTCCGTAGTTGATAGCTCATGCCTCATTGCTCATAGGCTTGTGGCTCAAGCTCAGGTTGCCAATTTGTGATTTGTGAATGAATGCGAATAAGTTTTTGCCAATTTGTGGTTTGTGAATGAATGCGAATAAGTTTCTGCTGTCATGGAATGTTTTGGTTTTGGTATTGGCCTATTGGGTAAGACATGAATAGGAATGGGGAAGTAGTAATTTTGTTAAGTGTTGTTTGGATAAATTGGAACACAGCTGATGCACTTGACAAACTTGGGGAATGTACCTTGTGCACACCATGAAGCTCAAGAGAAATATAACTCAATTTGTACTGGTGTGGGGCTATAACTGATGCTCTTGATAGACATGAATTTAGTCAATTATTGTTGTTGAGGGATACTATTTCTACATTTGCATCAATTTTTTAACTAATTTGTAGTTGTACGTGGGATTTCGATTTCAGGTTTGGATAATTGTATTATCTATTATATTTGTGCAACTGTAAATCGTAATGCTCTTCTTAATTTGATGCCACTCTTTACTGTTTATCATCGGAAACTTTTGATTATTGACACACAAGGGAGCTTAAGGACTGAGTGAAGCTACTCAAGAACCTCTCACACCCCAAAATTAAGTCACTGGATGTAATTGTGAATGACATTGTCATGTCTCTTATGTTTGTATGTGCATAACCCAATATAAATGGCTATTATGCATCTCTTCGAAATTGATTGAAATAGAGAGAAATTGAAAATATAAATGAATATATACTTGCTGTTTAATTTTCCTCCCCTCCCTATAGCATACAACACTCACATTGGTTGGATAACCTGTGAGGAAACAAATTATTATGTGAAATGCATGAGACTATATAGTTACTTACCTAGCTTTTCAAATACAACATTTATACTAGGCCTCCGGCCTGGTAAATAATAGTTACGATATTAATTATGCCATGAATCGTTAAGATTACGATATTGATTATACCATGAATGGTTAAGAGAAGAATTAGACCTACATTTACCTAGGCTTAAGATAGCTGATAGATCTCTGTTTCAATCATGGATTGATGCTCTGTAATTTTGCACGCTCTTGTACAGTTTCTTCTTTTTATAAATGAAAATTAACCGTGGGGGTTTCCCCACTGTTCTCCGGTAAAAAAAAAACAGTGGCAGACATAAAATTTGTCCTTATGAAATTTCCTACAAGAGTTTTAAATATTTGATCCATTAGTGTTTCCATTCTTCTTAAATTCAGGGTATATCCAGTGAGGTGTACCTCGCCATGGACTGCATCTGCGTCATTGTCTGAGTGTCCACCTCGCTGATCTCGTTCACGCCGCCGTAACTTCCTTATTTTTTCTTATAATATCGTGTACACCATGTCAATTACCTTGCATAAATATTTCACTCAATAGTGTTTTTTTTCCCATGTCATTGATTTCAGAGGATTGTGATATCATGAGGACACAACCATGAAATTCAGCTCATCTGGTGTAAGTATTCATTCCTGTTTCTTAGAGATCACTGCTCATTTATTAAAAACTGAAAATCACTGTGCCGGATTAAAAATTTCAGAAGCTTTTGGAGGCATGCATTACTGTTACAGGGATGGAATAATGAGATCGCATCATCTTTTATCATGAAATTTGAAGACTACTGACTACAGACCATGCCAATATAATTTCCTATATATGCAACACAATGCAGCTACAAGGATAGGATAAAGTTCATTTGGTTTATGTTTAGCAAGAGGACCTACCGATTTGTCAGATTACAGTTATATACCTTTTGCTTACCATGAAGGCATCCCCTTTTTACATTTTAGTACGACGCTTCATCTTACATCGGGTTTTACTGGTTTATAATTTATCATTTATTTTTTCAGCATTTGATTGAATTTCTTGTACTAAATCATGTAATTTTTAATGTCTGTGGTTTTACAAGAACCTCTCCAACACCTTAAAGGATGTTCTTTAGAAATTAGATGATCTTCAAAGTCCACATTCCTAGAGTCACTTGGGAGAGTACAATTAGTGAACTATTAGCATACCGTACTTTTGAATCAATATTCCTATTTCTAGAGGCGAGAAAAAAGAAAGCATGTCTATTGTACTTGTAATTACATGTGAATGACCCTGTAAATTATGTTAGGTCTCCAGTACTGTTGTATGTGCTGCACTTATTTTCCAGATAACCCTTCTGATAGCTCAAGTGAAGCTGATCATGATAGCTCAAGTGAAGCTGATCATGCAACGAGTTTTATGTGTTAGTAAGTCTTGTGTGTAAATCAATATGCTGTGAGGTGCAAGTATAATTAATGGATCAACATCATTTCATTTACACTATGAAGTTGTTTCATTCTCAGCAGGAATTTCCTTTTTGTTTATCACACTAGTCTTACGAAACATCACCGTAACCGTAACGTTAGTACGGGCATACTACTAATCTAACTTCTTAACAAGAGAAGTTTCCATTGTCCGTTAAAAATAAAAAAATGTGCGAGAAAAAAACAGTTTCCAAAAAACGCGTGGGAAAAATACAGTTTCCTTCGTCTGAAGAAAGCAAAAAAAACATGTTATTAAAAACTGTTAGAAAGAAATACGCCATTTCTAAAAAATGGTTTGAGAAAACCGTACAAGAAAAAATCACCGTTTATAAAAAACAAGCCACTCTAAAAAAACTACCAGAAAAAAACACCGTTTATAAAAAAATAGATCCAAAAAACAATCGGACTCAATGCGAGAAAAAAAACGAAACTGTTGTTTCTAAAAAATGGTTCGAGAAAACCATTTGACTCAATGCGAGAAACAATCCATCTTTTCTAAAAAGAGTTAGAGAAAACCATCGGACTCAACACGAGAAAAAAAAACACCGTTTATATAAAGAACCGCTCCGAAGAACCATCCGACTCAATGCGAGATAAAATTGATGGATGCTGGGTCGGATAAGATCCATCGATTTTTTTTCCATCTCTTACACATAATTTGATTCCTCATCTCCTCTAATCTCTTATGTGCAATTATCATTATTGGACTATTTTTTGTTAAGTATAGCTACTATTCTTAATAACATATTATATGGAAATAATTTTAAAAAATAAATATATTTTTAATTGTTATTTCGAGAAGAGTGCACGGTGACTATTTTGTGTAGACTTGACCCTGAGTGTAGGATTGGATTAACCTATTATTGGTTGCAAGAATAAGATCTAAAGAGTATTTTAGATTATATGCATGTTGTTACATGAATAATCCAATTATTTTGGGGAAAGCAAGGATTGGTAAGGTTGCTATCATCGAGGTTAGGTACATGAAGATGTTTCAATTTTCTAATTATGTTACTTACAACGATCCATAGAAACATTATCATTGATATGGTTATGCATGAAAAGTGTATATTGTTATTGGATTTTTTTTACCCGTTGCAACGCACGGGCATTTTTGCTAGTAAAAAAAAACATAAGTAACATAAAGAAAAAAAACATCAGTAACATAGGTAGTGCCATTGAAGAAAAAATCGATGTTCTATAAAATAGAAATTTTTATTTACAAGTAAAATATAATACTATAAATTTATGGAAATCTATCTATCTATCTATTATCTATTATCTATCTATTATATAATAAAAGTCCATTAAACTCCCTATAAACGCTCTTAAGCAGCCACGTAGCATTATATAATCTCACCGTTGATTTTCACTTAAATTGGTGGACCCATTATTTTACACCATCAGATTAGATCTATTATTTAATACCTTCCTGTGTGCCGGAAAAAGAATTCCGTATGTACGAAAAGACTCCGTACATACGACACATAAGTACGATTATAAATCTGATTAGAGAAACATAAGTACGACGTACAACTGGAAAAAAAAACATATAAGCTTACCTATTGCTCACACATGAAGAAAAGAAAATCACGTACGTAATTATGATAAGAGCAATAAAGAAAAAAAAAGCATAAGTAACATAAAGAAAAAAAACATAAGTAACATACGTAGTGCCATTGAAGAAAAAATTGATGTTCTATAAAATAGAAATCTTTATTTACAAGTAAAATATATTACTATAAATTTACGAAAAACTATCTATCTATCTATTATCTATTATCTATCTGTTATATAATAAAAGTTCATTAAACTCCCTATAAACGCTCTTAAGCAGCCACGTAGCATTATATAATCTCACCGTTAATTTTCACTTAAATTGGTGGACCCATCATTTTACACCATCGGATTAGATTCATTATTTAATACCTTCCTGTGGGCCAAAAAAAGAATTCCATGTGTAAGAAAAGACTCTGTACATACGAAAGATAAGTACGATTATAAATCTGTTTAGAGAAACATAAATACTACGTACAACTGGAAAAAAATATATAAGCTTACCTATTGCTCACACAAGAAGAAAAGAAAATCACGTACATAATTATGATAAGAGCAATAAAGAAAAAAAACATAAGTAACATAAAGAAAAAAACATAAGTAACATACGTAGTGCCATTGAAGAAAAAATCGATGTTCTATAAAATAGAAATTTTTATTTACAAGTAAAATATATTACTATAAATTTACGAAAATATATCTATCTATTATCTATTATATATCTATTATATAATAAAAGTCCATTAAACTCCTTATAAACACTCTTAAGCCGCCACGTGGCACTCCTATAAACGCTCCTAAACTGTCACAAGGCATTATGTAATCTTGCCGTCGATTTTCACTTAAATTGGTGAACCCATTATTTTATACCATATGATTAGATCTATTATTAAAAAATAAAAATTCCCTCCTCTTTATACGATACAAGCGCTACTATTGTTGTCATGTACACTTACATACACCACTGTTCGCCGGAAAGAAAAGAAAAAACCAAACGCATGTACATATATATAAAAAAGACAGCAGAAAAATGCATCAGTAAAAATCGACAAATTTTAAAATATGATTTTCTAAAAACAAACAAACAAATAAATAAATAAATAAAGTTAAACTAAGATATACAATAATGATATAAAATATCCAATCAATTTTTCTGTATGCCATCTTCTAAATTATTTTTAAATTATATATCCAATTTGTTATTAAATTATGTTCCTCTTTTATTTCTATTAAATATCATGATATGTGAGTATTTCATACTAAGTTTGGTTAATTAAGAAACACAAATCATACTAGACTTATATATTAGAATTCATACAATAAAATTTTACTTTATAATAATAATTGACCTAATAAAAGTGTACTTTAGTCTATAGCATTTATACATTTATAAAATCTTTGTGCGTACTAATTATATTTATATAATTGCGCTCTTATATCAATTTAAATTCAGTTTTGAAGAAAGCATATGAAAATTAAGAACTGAGTAGAAGTAAATAGAAGTCTTTCTATAATTAGATGAAATAATCCTATTGAAAATATTTCTAATAGAAAATATCTTCCATTAATATATAAGAAAAAATAATCCTTAAATAAATTTTTTATCATTATCTATTATATATTGAAAGTACATTAAACTTCCTACAAATACTCATACTCTTAAGCCACCACATGGCGTTCTAATAAATCAGATAAATTGAAGAAATATAAGAAAAAAAAACGAAACATATAACCCTCAATTTTCACTTAATACGGTGGACCCAATATTTTACACCATTAAATCTCTTTTTAAGAGAATCCCAAAACCCATCCAAATACCATCTCCACCGCCTCTTCCTCCTGAGCCTCCTCTTTTCACAGTATGTACGTACGTCCCTCCATCTTTCCTTCCTTCCATCTTTCTCTAATTTAACTATTTAAATTTAATTGATGGATCCATTAATGTTAAACATTACATCTTTATCTAAAAAGAAAATCCGGCAACCCCACCCTCACCGCCATACATGCGCTACGCACGTAGGTACATACTCCACCCTCTTGACTCTCCCCCCTCTTCTATTTCTTTAGCTATTTCTAGCTAACACTCAATCTGTCAAAAATTAATAATTGGATTTCTAAGTTCATATTCAAGTTACATTTTTTTCTCATTTTTTTAATTATTGTGTCATTTATAATTACATACATGATTCGAGACCCATATACATCTATATAGCTCAAACTTCTAATATAAACGTTTAAGGGAAAATTTTTAAGCACCATCTTAAACAAATATTAAATTTAGATATATAAACGTCATAAGTCATTACATTTCAATAGTACAAACGATTCTAAACCGCCACGTGGCACTCTAATAAATTGTAAAAAATCACATAAATTATAAGAAAAAAGAAAAACATCTAAGCATTGATTTTTCTTCTTTAAATTTGTAGGACCAATATTTTCAATCATTAGATCTAATCTTAATCTTAACCTACTTAAAAACTTGAAGATGATTGTGTGCTCCGTCGCTTGATGACGTCATCCATGAGTCAGCTGCACGTACTTCGCATATATGTTCCGTGAGAGAGAGAGAGACTCGGCTCACTAAAGAAAAGTGAGGCATTGTACATCTGATAAAAACTTCCAGCCAAATTGCAATGCAGTATTGCAGTCCATCAAAGTCGATCTTTTATATGTTCATTGTAGACAAAATTAAGATTTGAAACATCAAGGAATAAGCACAAACAAAGTTTGACATGACCTAAACGAACAGAACAAGGAAATTTGATCGTATCATGCATAGAGGAACTATGGCTTAACATAGTACGAGATGATAATGAAGAGAGTTATGTCACAACTAACCTAATTAGGTAAAACCCTATGTAAGGAAACGTTACTGCAGAAGTATTGTATGAAAATTGTAGAAACATAGTACAAAATGAATTTATTTCATAGCTAAACAGCGTAATCTTATATGTTACTTTGTATAGTTTGCATCTTTAGTTAAGCATCCAAAAAAGCTATAAACACAATTAAGATGATGTATTTTGAAAATTTAGATCAAATATAGATTCAACATCAAAAGCAAAAACTAAGGTGATATGGCTTTGTAAAAGAAGAAACAAAAGAGAGATAACTTTTGACCAGATTAATCATTGAGGTGCTAGAATTTTTTTTTACCAGGAAAACTACCAGGGCTTAGCCCAGCAGTGTAATTTTATAAATAAAAAAAATATTTACAAGGTTACATAGTTTACATGCGGTTCACACAGAAAGACTATAAGGTTTGTACCCAATTAAAAACAGTTTGCTTTAAAGGATCATTCATTCTGCACATATGCAGAAGAACTTCTTTGACGAAAAGAGATCTCCATGCCTGGAAAGAGGGCTGAATGTTCTAAAATATGAAGCCATTTCTTTGCTTCCAGATGTGCCTAGCTGTCAAAAAGAAAATTTCCAGGAAACCCTTCTGAGCAAATTTGATTCTTGCTAGGGAGATCATTTGGAAAAACTCCAAATTATTATTCCACTCAATTCCCAAGTCTGAAAGGACATAAGAAGAAGAGGTGTAGCCTTGTCTCTCTGCAGTTCGCATTGCACAAAACACACGTGAGATCATCATCTTCTTTGGCACAATGTCTTCTATCCAGCATATCTCTTGTATTAAGCCTATCACAGAACATTAGCCAGGCAAACACTTTGATCTTCATGACACATTTTGTTTTCCATAACCAAATCATGGGTCTGGGGGGTTGCAATGCAGAATAATTTAGCTTATAGAATTTTAGCTGTGTACTTATCTGAGCCCCAGATAAAATTCCAAGCATCCCCCATCCCTGATTGTAAATTCAAACTGTCGAGAACCCCCTGAAGTTGCAAGAATTCCAAATAAGCCTCATCCGAGAGGGGTAGAGCAAAAGAATCTTCTAGGGGTCTTGAATACATGGCCTTGACTGAATCAGACTTATACATAGTCCCAGCAAAGAGATTGGGGTAGCTGGTGCACTTAAAATCATCATTCCATAGATCATTCCAGAAAAGGGCAGTTCTTCCTGTCCTGATTTCATATTTTGCTATCCCCCTGAATATGTCTACAAGAGTTGTGATGTCCCTCCACCAAAAAGAACCCTTATTCATCGTCAGGTGTGGAACTTTAGAAACATAATATAATTGTGAGATTAATTTCACTCATGGTAAATCAGCACCATTATAGAACTTGACCATATGCTTTAGAAGAAGGGTTGTGTTTTGAACTCTCAGATTGATCACTCCTAAGCCTCCTTTCTCCTTAGGCATGCACACCCTATCCAAGGAAGCTAGAGATTTCCTTGTCGAAGAAGGGTTATTACCTCTCCACAGGCAACTCTTACGAGCTGTGTCAATGGCCTTGATGACTGAAACTGGTAGCTGCAATGAGGACATGTAATAGGTTGGGATAGAAGACAGGACTGAGTTGATCAAAGTTAATCTTCCTCCTTAAGGTAAAAAAATTGAGCTTGCCGTCAGCCTCCTTTCAACCCTGTCTACCAATGGAGCAAAGTCTGCCACTCTAGGCCTGGTGGTTCCCAAAGGTAGCCCCAAATAAGTGAAAGGAAGAGAACCGATCTTACATCCCAAGATGCCAGATAGTAAGACAGCTTTGTCCTGTGGCATATTAAGTGGGTACAGACTTGATTTATTACAGTTTACCTTGAGGCCTGTGGATTGAGCAAACATATTCAAAATAGCCTTGAAACAGAAGACTTCTTTCTGAGATGCTTTTAACAAGATCAAGGTGTCATCAGCATACTGAATGATTGGGAAAGGCAAAATAGCCATTTTCGTCCCTAAACTATTGCCCGAGGCTCAGTTTGGTCCCTGAACTATCAAATTGTCCAATTTCGTCCTTCAACAATTGATTTCGAACTCAATCTCGTCCGTTCCCCTTGATAGCACGCCACGTGGCCAGCTAGACATGCGAAATGTCCGTCCTGCCCCTCGCTCAATTCTTTACATGTTGGATGGCTGACGGCGTCGTCCTCGTCTTCTCTGTTGGTGCGGCTTCTGTTCGTCGTCGTTGCCGCCGGGGAGGAAGACCCACTAGCCGCCAGTCCCCAGTTCTCTTTGCCTCATCTGCTTCATCCATTCCATCTCGTCCATCTCCCCCATCTACTCGCTCCTCGTTTCCTCCCCGATCTGGTCGCTCCATTGTGGAGGTGGCATCCGTTGTGCCTGTATCCCCATGGAGCATGGGTCCAGGGAGGGGAGAGTGAGAAGGTCGACGCCAAGAATGGGAGTAGCACCGAATCCCGGAGCATCGAGTTCTGGCGCTCATGGAGCTGCGCGCGCGGTGGAGGTGAGTACAGAGCTGTTGGCGCTGGGGCTAGGGTTGATTTGAATTGGGGATTGATTTGTTTTTTGATAAAAATTCGTCGATTTGGTGCAGCTTGAAACATTGCTTGAAGAACATTCAGAGGGGATGCTGGTGAGGACAGGGCTTACATGTCGGCATGGATTCTTCCCAATTTTGTGTTGTTGTTGGTCTGGTCCAGACACTGGAAGAAGGTTCCTGGCATGCTCCCAAGTTGAGCAGCCCTGTGATTTCAAGTATTGGATCGATGAACAATTTGAAGGTAGAGCAAAAAGGGTGATTCAGGACCTAGTTTCCATGAGGCACAGCATGTCGGAGCTGTACGAACATTCATCTAGACAATGGGATGATATGTATGCTGATCGACAAAGAGTAAAACAACAAATTCATGAACTAAAATGTACTATTAGAGAACAAAGAGAGTGCATTGTAATCTTAATTTGTTTTAGCATTGTAATTGCTTGTGGTATATGGCTCATTGTGTAACCACTATTTGAGGCAATGTGGAATGAATTGAAAAACAATTTTAACATGTCTTATGCTCATGGTTTTGACATAACAAATGCAAGCGTTCATGACATCATGACTAACTGAAACGAGGAGCGAGTAGATGGGGGAGATGGACGAGATGGAATGGATGAAGCAGATGAGGCAAAGAGAACTGGGGACCGGCAGCTAGTGGGTCTTCCTCCCCGGCGGCGACGACGACGAACAGAAGCCGCACCAACAGAGAAGACGAGGACGACGCCGTCAGCCATCCAACATGTAAAGAATTGAGCGAGGGGCAGGACGGACATTTCGCATGTCTAGCTGGCCACGTGGCGTGCTATCAAGGGGAACGGACGAGATTGAGTTCGAAATCAATTGTTGAAGGACGAAATTGGACAATTTGATAGTTCAGGGACCAAACTGAGCCTCGGGCGATAGTTTAGGGACGAAAATGGCTATTTTGCCATTGGGAAACCATCCCCACTGCTTTCATTAATTGGTTTGGGTGAATAGCTAATTTAGTCCCTCAAGTTTCAGCGAAGGCTCAATTTGGTTCTTCACGTTTTATTTTGTCCACATAGATCCTTCAAATATTTGTTTTGGCTTGAAATCATCCTTGGGTCCACTTAATATGCCATATGGCTTTTCTAGTCAATATTTCTATTAGAAAATGTCATTTTTACCCTTAATTTGTATACATCTATATACTAGAAAAGAGAAAGCCAACATGAATAAACAACATTACATATCTACTCCCATTATTTCAACATGTGCACATGAAACTTAAGCAATTGCTATCGTATACACTTGCTAGTACATAATTTTTTTTCGTTTTACATAATATACTATGTATTATCTATAAAAAATTCAAGCATGCAATTTCTCTCTTATATATGTGAATGATGAGGGGTATAAATATCATTTATAAAGAGAGTTGTTGGTTCAGGGATAAGTTTGAACTAAAATGAAAACTTGAAGTACTAATATGGATAGATTGAAACATCAAGGACTAAACCGAACCTCGGATGAAACTTGGAGGACCACTTTGGCTATTCACCCAATTGGTTTTGATAGAAGTCCTTGATGAAATGCTTTGTTGATTATTCTTTGCAACAGTTCTGCCCCCAACACAAACAGCAGAGGTGAGAGAGGATCCCCTTGTCTGACTCCTCTTCTGCATTTGAAAGAATTCCCTGGTACCCCATTTAATAACACAACAGAAGAAGCAGTAGAGAAAACCATCTGTACCCACTTAATCAGAGACGATAAAAATAGCATTAACTATACTTAGTGAGGGTTAAGTACATACATACATATATATACCTATATATATATAGTAAATTTGTTTGGTGCTCCATGGTGCCCGGGCACCATTGTTGAAATTGAGTATATACCTAATTCAAATGAGTATGAAACTTTTTTAATTACTTAGATATTAACATTAGCTACTTTACTAACTAGTTCAAAGCAAGTTTGAACTGAATTTGAACTTGTTTTTGTTAGATTTTGATTCTAGGTATATAGCATCCATACATATAATTAGTTAGGTATGTAATCATGGATTGTGAAATAAAGTTAAATTTGAGTTGTTTTGTTGATAGGTATAGGTATGAATCGAGTTATTATAACTAGGTATATACTCACAATTTGAAAATTTTGAAAAATTTGAGTGATTTTGTGTATTTGATACCATGGTGCCCGGGCACCATGGTGCCCCATATGAGTGTCCTATATATATACATATATATATATATGTATATATATATATATATATACATATATATATATATATAGTACCCTAAGGTGCTACGTACTAAACGACACCTTATACAGCACCCACCCCACCCACACACACTCCCCACCCTGTTCCCCACCAGGTCCACAGTATTCAGTCAAAATTTAACTCACCGATGACCAATCTCGATCCCTACCCTGCGCTCCCACAGCAACCGACACGATATGGATCTCAGTAATTTTTTTTACTCAAGGGCGAAAACATTGGGACCGACATCCACCCACCCCTCCCCGTGGTCGGTAATTTTTTAACTCCACGAAAATATTAATGTCGTGCCTTATAAGGTGAGGGCTATGAAGGAAGGTGATAATAATTTTTTACTCACGACCCCACACACCCATGATATGTTCAGTAATTTTTATACCGAATTAAAGTACTAGTATATATACCGTCAGTAACCGTTCATCCCGCTTCCTCTCATCCTCACCCTGATTTTTCGGATCTTGAGCAGCCTCGGCGATTTCCGGTGGTGGCCTGGTGGTCGTCGGCAGGGACGCCATCCTCCGTCCGCCGGAAGAGAATGATTAAGTGATGTCGTCGGCTGCCTTTCCTCCCACAACCTTTTTTCAAGGCAGTTGGGGATCTGAAATTGAATCCAATCACTTCTTCATAGCCGGTGAAGGAGGGGCGGTGGAGGCCATCCATATGCTGCAACATATCCGGCGGCCATCCATATGCTGGGAGCCACAGCGTCGCCTGTGGTGGGAGAGGACGCCACATATCAGATCCAGCACGGTACCGATCTTCCTCGTGTTCTTTTTTTCTTTTTTTTTTGCGGAGTAGCTTCCTGTTGCATCTGGTGGCGTGTTAATGGCCGGCACATCTCACTGTCTCAGCGCGATAAGTTTGCAGCTTAAAAGATCTGTGATCATTATGATTTAATCTACATTTGCCGATGCGGCCGGCGCCGGGTTTCCTACTCGCCACCGTAGAGCCGTCCTCCCCTTCATGCTCTGCCGACGACCACCACGATGGTTGTGTTGTCGTGATTTATTTACAGCCCGTGAGGCAAAAAAAACAGGAGAAACATGGAAGTCATTTGATATTTGATTGCACATTGGGGTTTGATCCTTGCATTGTGCTTGGTGAGATTGAATTTTGTTCTTTTCACTTAATTGCACGCTGCTAAAAATACCGTAGATAAAAGTAAGACTATTTTGAACACATTGAACGATGGCACTTTTAACTTTTTAACGGGAACTATTATCAGTATGAACTTAGTTTCTTATGGTTCCTTGTTTCAGGATATCGGCAGGCACTACTGGTGAGTGTCTAGATCGTAAATGGAATTCTACTCCTGCAAAGCACATAGCAATCTGGTGAAGTTGTATCCCAGTTACATCTTAGACGTTCCTCTGACTGAACCCGCTGCAAGCTTCACACGAGACTCTGCACCGGCAAGTGGCGATGCCGCCGGCGTTGATTTGGCTGTGCTAGCTAAACAATAATTATTCATTGTGATTGTCCATGAGAGTATGGATGTGTAATTTTTCGTTCGTAGTCAGTGTTGCTGATGTAACAATCATCAGTAAAAAGATAATCTATTGATTGATATTACCTATGTAACCTTTTATCTGAGGAGATATTTTGAAGATTGAATGTGTAATATGTATAGTAAAAAAATTACTATCCACGTACTATGATGAGTGATATTTTTACTATCATAATTTATTCCCATGTCGACGCAAAAATATTACTATTTTAAAATAGACCTATTAGTAAATAAATTACTGTGAAAATAACTACGAAACTGGCAAAAAAGTGTAGTGTACGGGCCTCATTGAGATTACCATTGTGGTCAGTAATTTTTTTACTATTGGCATAGTGGGTTATAAGTGGTTAGTGATTTTTTTACTACTGGGCCAGCGAAAGGCCTGGAGTTATTTTTTGATTCGCTCCCAGCAGTATAGGCGATGGTTAGGGGAGCATGCATGGAAAAAACAAGAAAAAAAATCAGAGAGGATAAAGGTAGGGAAAAACGAAAATCACGGATAGAGGGCTCCCTGTGAGGAGAGCGCGGTGGGAGTTATTTTTTTACGCAACCTGGATAAGCGAAGGTGGGAGGGGCGCCCGTGATACCCATATGGGACTCTATGGTGCCCGGGCTCCAAGGTATAAAGCACACAAATTCTCTCAAATTTTTAAAAAATTTTAAATTGTGAGTATATATCTAGGTATATGAAATTTGATTCATACAAATACCTAACAACTCAAACTCAACTTTATTTCACAATTCATTATTACATACCTAACGAATTATATGTTTGGATGTTATATACCTAGAACAAAAATTTAACAAAAAAAAAGTTCAAACTTAGTTCAAACTTGTTTGAAGTTGTTAGTAAAGAAGTTAATGTTCATATCTAAACATTTAAAAAAATTTCATACTCATTCAAATTGGGTATATACTCAATTTGAATCTTGTAGCCCATACTCCATGTAGCACCAGTTAATTTACCTTTTATATATATATATATATATACATATATATAGTGAATCTATTCTACACCCCTCCCCTAGAATAACTATTCTACACCCTCCCCATGGGTCAAACCCACCTCCCCCACCCTCCCTAGGGCCCAAAACCCCCCTCCCACCTCGGTCAAAGCGTCCTCCCACCGGTCAAACCCGCCCACCACTCCCTCCCCCGCCCACCACTTTGCTGCTCTCGTCTTGCAGGAATCGTGCAGTAACATGATGGTCATCGTGCAGTAACAAGACAACATTATCGCAATAACAACATCAAAAAGTAGCCATGATGGATCTAGTTTTGTTAAACACTTTTTTACGAACATTATGATGCAGACGGATTGGAAATACAAGATATGATATGGGAGATATTGCTCTCTAAAGATTGAGATTTACCTCTCTTTTAGTCCTCATCTCACTGGAACAGCGTAGTAATACGGTAGCCAATATGCAGTAACACGTCTGCTTTTCGCAGTAACAATGTTAAAAAATAGTAATGATGGTTCTAGTTTCGTCAAGCTTTTTTTTTTACGAACGCCATGATGCAAATGGGTAAGAAAAATAAGACATAGCGTGTACATTAGTACTCTCTAAAGATTGAGATTTAAAATACTCTAGATCTAAAAAACATTACTACTATAGTGCCACTGTTACTATACATGTTCTTTGTTACTGCAAATTTCGTCATATTATTACTGCCAAAAGTGCAGTAACAACTTATAAATTTTACAGTAACAACCTATACATTTTTGCAGTAACATATGATGTTACTACCCTTCTGGAATAATATTACTGCCGATTCATAGTAACAAGGGTATGATTGTTATAGGCACATAACTGATTTTGCTCATAAATCATCATATGGTGATTTGGTTAGAAGTGCTTACCATGAACCATGAGATCATGGGTTCAAGTCTTGAATTCACCAATTTATTTTTAGTTTTTCTAAAAAAGAGAGAAGAAGAGAAGGAGGGAGAGAAAAAAAAAGGAGGAGGGAGGGGCGCGTGAGGGAGAGAGGAGCGATGGGGGCGTGAGGGAGAGAGGAGCGATGGGAGAGGGGGCGGGGGCGCAGGAGCGATGGGAGGGGAGGAGGTGGGAGGGGGGGTGTAGAATCGTTATTAATAAGGAAGAGTGGATAATATATATATATATATATATATATATATATATATATATATATATATATATATATATATATATATATATATATATATATATATATACATAAATAGGATACCCATATGGGACTCCATGGTGCCTGGGCTCCAATGTATAAAACACACAAATTCTCTCAAATTTTTAAAAGTTTTCAAATTGTGAGTATATACCTAGGTATATGAATTTGATTCATACTAATACCTAAAAGCAAAATAACTCAAACTTAACTTTATTTCACAATTCATTATTACATACCTAACGAATTATATGTTTGAATGTTATATACCTAGAACCAAAATATAACAAAAAAAAGTTGAAACTCAGTTCAAACTTGTTTGAACTTGTTAGTAAAGGAGTTAATGTTCATACCTAAACATTTAAAAAAAAATCATACTCATTCAAATTGGGTATATACTCAATTTGAATCTTGGAGCCCATACTCCATGTAGCACCAGTTAATTTACCTATATATATATATATGTATATATGTATATGTATATATATATATAATATATATATATATATATATATATATGTAGATCTATATATGTGTATATATATATATATGTATGTATGTATATATATATATATATATGTATGTATATATATATGTATATATATATATATATGTATATGTATATATGTATATATATATATGTATATATATATAGACATACTATACTACAGATGGGGTAATACAGCACAACCCACCCCTACCCACCCCACCCCTCCCCTGTACCCCCGACCTCCTCCCCTTTCCCATACAGTAGTAATTCTTTTACTACTAAACTTCCTCCTATATATAGGATTTAATACACTCATTTTTTTTGTTAATTTCTTTTGCTTTTTTCAGATCTGGAACGAGGAGGTTGCCGGCTGCGATTCGAGAAAAGGCAGCACCAGGGAGAGGCCACCACGCCGCCTGGATCTGGAGGCAAGCTCCACGACGACGGGCGCCTGCCTTTCTTCTGCCCATGGTCTCCACCGGCTTCCCTTCCACCGCCACCGATCTGCTCCGCGTTGGCGAGCTATACGGAGGAGCCAACGTCCTTCGTCCTCGTCGGCGGCCGCCGTTCCGCCTTCGTCCGCTGGCGGCCTCCAGATCGCCACCATCGCCCACGCCTGCTGCCCTCGTCCGCCGCCCGTGGAGGACGCTGAGGAGGTGTAGTAGCAGCATTTGGATTGGATTTGCATAAGTTGTTGGTGCGGGCAAAGGAGGAGGAGGGCCGGCGCCATCTGCGTTCCTTCACAAGCGACACCATCGACAACCCCGAACTCGTCTGCGTGATTGAAGTCTGCATCCCCCATGAGAGGAATAGTGTCTTTGGTGCTGCCATGCCAATCCGATCTATTCCCTTTCTTTTTTTTTGTTTTTGTTTTTTCATGTTTGCATGATCGGTGATCAGGCCTTTTTTCCCCACGCTGTTCAGATTCATGGTGGTTTTTCTTGTCGATTCAATCTTCTATGCTTTATGGTTGCAATTTTCCCAGGTTTTAGTTTAGTGTTTATAACTAGACATGAAAAGACAAGATATGTATTTTTTTCGCAGGGGTAGAGTGAGAATCCGGATGCAGCATCAATGCAGATGAGGATTATACTGACAACGATGTACATTGAGACCTTTATTGTTCAGTCTATTGGCACAAATCCCTGTTCTTGGTGCAGGTGTTTTTCTACTGGGCACACAATAAATTTTTTTTGCCTAAGTATGCTTTTTTTTTCATATTCAGAGGATTGAGATTGTTGTTCTAATTGCTCATGTGCATATGGCATGTCCTTCACTAGTTCCGCAGGTGCGGATCAAGGACACCAAGGGAGTTTTCATCCATGAATAATTTCCTTATCATTTTAGCTTATTTGGGCATTGGTATCGTGAAAAATCTAGGACGAGTCTATTTGATTAGTATCATTTTTATGCATAATAATATGTTCCCTGGAAACAGATCTTTACTGACTGCCAAATTGAACTTTTCTCTTGACCTCAATGATATCCGGGTGATCTCTGAAGATATAGGATCCTTGGTTCATTTGACATGGACGCTCGAAATGTTTCATGTCGTACACTTTGCACACTTTTTCTGGATTTATCTTGGCGAACTGATAATGTGTCAATTAGAATTTTGGTTCTTAATTTAACATGCATGTGAACATCTGAAATCTATGATCAGTCTAATGGAGTGTATTCCTGTAAATAAAGCAGTATAGACTCATCAGTTCTAAAATTTATTCTACTCGATTTATGTTCTTCAGATTGAGGCTGCATTTTGCACATATTCTCTCTTCTTGCTGCTCAATTTTTTATGAAGGATTTTATTTCTTCTTCAGCGAATCATATCTCATTTAGAGTCATTTATGAGTGTAAATTATAGACTTCTCTTAGATGATGTAATCATTTCTATCTATATCCAGGTGGTTGTGGGATGCCTCTCTAGATGTTCGTGGGTGATGGATACCTGTCGATGGGGAGACCTAAGGAATCTATAGTGCTTTGTCGGCTCAACATCGATATGAGGCACTAGCGTCATCTTGCTTGTTGGATTCGTGCATGTAATAGTAATTTAGTTACTAAGAGATATATGTTGAGAACCATCGGTGTAATAGTAACTTGGTTACTAAGAGAATTTGTTGGCAATGTCAATATGTTATGTTGAGATTGGTGTAATAGTAATTTATTTACTAAGAGGAATCTTGTGACGATATCAATACGTTATTTTAAGTAATTTATTTACTGCGAGAATGTATGATAACCAATTAAGTGTAGTATTATCTTAAGTAATTTATTTACTAAGAGAATAAATGAGACCAACCCGACAGTAATTCATTTACTGAGAGAATGAACCAACTGAGAAGGGCTACAACCTGGGAGTAATCCATTTACTGAGAGAAGAAATGAGTTGGATTCCGAGTAATTTATTTACTAATAAAATGATATTAACAAAGAGTAATTTATTTACTACGTGTGCAAGAGAAATGTGCGGGTTGCAGTTGGAATGGACAGGCCAAAAGGTGCGGGATTACAATGCAAAAATCAATATATTAGTTAGTAATTCATTTACTAATAAGAAGATATTAACTGTAAGTAATTTATTTACTGAAAGACAAATTGTGAGGGAGAGAAAAAGGTGTGGGAGAGTCCCCTGGGCGCCGGGGGGTGGGGGTGGGGGTGGGGTGGGGTGCTGTGAGGGGAGTAGTTTAGTTATTGCGCACCCCAGGCGCGGTTTAGCGCATCCATATATATATATATATATATATATATATATATATGTTTCAAGCAAGTCATATTTTGCTTTGACACATAAAATGAGACAAAAGACAATTGTAAATATGTGATATCCTAAATTCCAATCCTTCACAGTAGCGTCATGGTTTTTTACTCTTGTGTGTATATAAGCCGCTAATAGCATTGCATAATTGATGTCCTTTCATGTTTAAAAGTTATATCTTTCCTATTAAATTTACATTTCATGACTCATGTTGACTATGTCATTTTGGAAAAATATCATATGGGTGCAACATATCATATACAGATGTTGTCTAAGACATGTATATTTTCTTCGTTTTTATTGATTTACATGCAAATATGCAACAAATTATATGCATATGAATTACAGGGAAGGATATATAGCTTGATACACATAAAATATATTCAATAATAAATTCTTAATATTTCATAATAAAAGAGCGAGCCGGTGAACATTCAATTAAAAAGAATGGAAAAAACATCTTACTTTTAGTTAGAAATTAATTTGTCGGACCACTTTTTAACAAACTAATACACATGCCCGCGCATCGCGCGGGCTACCTTCATAGTTTTATAATAGTAGAGATATAAATGGTAGAGAAGAGATAAAGCTGATAAATTAAGAGGTGTAATATGTGCGCATGCAAATTAAAAGCAAGGAACAGGAGTGACAAGAACCACTAACCAGTAACCACTGAGAAATCTGTTTATTTATCTCTCTGACTCTGACGGGCTGCCAAAACCAACCACAACTGCATGCGCTCCTGTACCCTCCGGATCAAGCCGAGAGAACGATGCGACCACTCTGGCCCAACGGCGGCAGCACCGGCAGCAGCGTCGACGTCTCGTTGACGAGCGGCCGTCGTCGTCCAACGTCAGCTGGCAGTGGCAGTGGCAGCGGCGGCGGTGGCCGGGAGGAGGTGTACTTCGCCGACGTCGAGGAGGTGCGGGCAGCGCCGGCTGACGCCTGCAGGGAGGACCCCGCGGTGTACCTGACATGGGAGGACGTGTGCGTGACGGCGTCCGGCGCCGGCAGCAGGGCGACGCCGGCGAGGATCCTGGAGGGGATCAGCGGGCACGCCCGGCCCGGGGAGGTGCTGGCCATCATGGGGCCATCGGGCTGTGGCAAGACGACGCTTCTTGATGCACTCGCAGGTTTGTCGTCTCACTGTCACCGCTCCAGCTCTATAACAGGGCTTTTACAGTTTTATACTATTTCGGTGTGCACACCGGAGGACCCCAAGTTTCCGAACGAAGAAAAACGGAAACTTGAATAAATTTTGCTGAATTCGTAAAACAAAAGGTTGAATACTTATTTTCTGAAGGCTTCAGATGAAATAGTTTCGCGCGGAGGTCTAAAATTTTGAAAATTACAACCCAAAATCGATTTTCTATATATTTATCGATAAATATTTTTAAAAAAAATTGACAGATATAAATATAGTGTAGTCGTAGGATAATTAAATTATAATTTACATATAACTCCAAGGTTATTTTGAACCGTTCAATTTGCTTTAAAATTCGTGCAAAAGAGGTAGGAAAAAATCACAACACATGCACATGCATGTGAGAGGATTTGGTTCCATTACATCTATTTTCAGGGAATTAGCATGTCACCTATAGATTATAGATTTTTGAAAGTTACAGACAAGTTATATGCAAGTTACACTATAATTATATCACGATTGTACTATATTTATGCAAGTTACACTGTAATTACATTACGATTGTCCTATATTTATATCCGTCACTTTTTTTATTTAAAATTTGACGATAAATGTATAACTAATCCCCGTGGTACCTCTTTTGAATTTCTTTTATTATATGAAAGATACACGTGTACATTTTCTTGAGAGTTTAGAATCCACTCCCTATAACAATAATTCTTATCTTTCACTTAAAAACGAAGATGTTCATCGATCCTTGTGTTTGGTATGACCATATTCTAGAGTTGTTAAGTGTGAACAAATATTGACTCATACGTATTAATTTCATATCCTCTTATCATTTTTTTTACCTATTAGGTGTTCTCAAGCTATTCGTACTTTGTTTTTTCAGTTCGAACTGAGGTTTCATTTTTTTTTTCCTTTAATTTTCCCTTTTATTGACTGCCTGCCATATCTTTCTATCAACGTCGAAGCTTCACACTAGTTGCAACATGCATGGTTGACAAACAATATGCAAAATATTTTATTATTCAGCATTTTACTGCTGAGCAAATCATCTAGTGCACTGGATTTAATTACTGCCATTCATCTACAGGAAGGTTAGGGCCAGGCATGAGTAAAACTGGATTGATTTTAATCAACGGGCGGCAGGAGAAGCTTGCCTTCGGAACATCAGTAAATATTCTTTCAGTGATCTAAAACAATCTTGTTTACTGCAACAAGGATTTTCTGCATAGTGTACTAATATTAACAGAGAAAAAGAGGGGCTACTAGTACCACATCTGGTACCATACTACGTCTACTACCATTGCCACCATGACACCTACGAGTACAAGGTCTCAGTACCTTGGTTTAATGCTTACATCATGCATGCTAACACTAGCATGACATTGGCACCTAAAGTCCTAAACTATCCCGTGCCTCTAATGTGATATCCTTCTCTAGTATTGACTCCCTCCATAAAAAAAAAATCCAATCCTAACTATGAATCTGGACATATGTGTGTCTAGCTTCGTAGCTAGAAGTTTTTTTTTACAGTGTAAGTATGTTATAAAGAGGTCTCGACTAGAGCAACATGTTAGCACATGATGACATCTTCACATGGAAACGAGAAAAGATGAGTAAATTGGTGACATCTTTGCATGGAGAGGAGTAAAAAGAAATAAATTGCCCTCGTAGTAGAAAAATTTGGCACATGGGTGGGATGTAGATAAGATCAGATGAGCATAACATGTGTAACAACTAGGTTAGTGTTTTTCGAAAAACAACAGTATGTCTTTTGGCAAAATAAAAATGATGACACTTTGGATTTTATAGCCACATGAATTATGCAACCTTTTTTTTTTAAAACCTAATGCGGAACTTTGTTCCATTTTTATAATTAGAAGAAGAGAATTGACCCAGTTTATAAGGAAAATCGGGCCCGAAAACTAAACAATTGCACGGTTAATTACAGGAAAACCGGCTAAAACCCACCGCTATAGATCTAACAATGACAGCGGAGCCCAAACACAGGACGTCGCCGCTAGGCTAAACACAAAAGCGACACAACAGCTCCCAAATCGCAGAAGAGGTGTTATCGTTGCCGAGCTAGCCGCCCAAGCGACCAGCAGCGCCAACTTCACAACCGCAACGACATTGAAGGCATGAAGGTCGCCAAAGCGAAAAGCAATTCCGACCTCCAACAATGGACATCAGCCAAGCCACCGAGGAGCCACTTTCTTCACACAGCCAACACCAGAACTCCTTGGAAGAGACTGCAACATGTCATCGTTGCCAAACGTCGCCGCACCCCATCAGCAAGCAGCTTCGACTTCATCAGCAGAAACAACCGAAGAGCTTGTCGCCGACCACAAGAAAGAAACGGACCCAAGAAGACGAAAGCCTCGCCGAACTAAGGTATGAAAGCTTTTGAACCGAAAAAGACCATCAACAGTTGTCGATGTGTTGGAACTTCTCCGAAGCGACGCCCCCAAGGAGGACACGACGCGTAGCGCCGCCGCCGCTTGTCCGAATTCGGAACTAGATTTTCACCTGGAGATTGCGGGGATATGAAAGAACGCCATGACAACGCCTCCAAGAAGGGAAACGGCGCCAGCGGGCGTCGTCGTCGTCGAACCGGCCAAAGGCACGGCAAGGCTTTCACCAGCATCTTCACATCACCCACACAAGCACCCCCACATCGATGACCATAGATTAGTCCAAGACGTCTCACAAGCAGCCATACCAACTCCACATCCGCACATCGCCGCACATGAGCACGAGACCCGCCACCGGCAGAAGAAACCCCCTGCCGAGCAGGAGGTCGCCGCCAGCAAGCAACCCCGCCGGAGCTCGCGTAGGCGACGTCGCGCAGCCGCCGAGCTCGCCGGAGCCCACCCGAGCCGTGCAACGCCACCACACGCAGCCACCCCGCGCAACCGGCTGCCCTGGCTCTATCACCCGCACCACGACAATGCCCCTCGCAAGCCGGTGACGTCCGCGCCGCTGCAGCATCCGTCGTCACGCGCCGCCGCGGACGGACGCCGACGCCGACGACGCGACCTCGGCGTGAGCGAGCCGCCGCTGCCAGCCGCGAAACCGACGCCTGCCTACCGCGATGCCACCCTTGCCTGCCGCCGGTCTCCAGACGCCCCGCAAGATCCGGCCGGAGCCAGCCCGGATCTGGTCGGGGAAGTTGCCGCCGCCGCCGACTCCCCAGCCTCCGCAAGCGCGTGCCCGCGCCGACCAGCCGCCATCATTCCGTGTCGCCCTGCACGCCGTGCCGCCTCCTCGCGTCTCCCGACGGCCGGCCACTGCCAACACCCGCGCCGCCATCCTCGCCGGCCGCCAGATCCAGCGGCGGTGGGCCGGATCCAGACGCGTGGAGTCGGGACCGGCGGCGGCGGCACCGGCTCCCAGCCACGCGCGGCGCCACCGCGCGGTTTCCCGGCGCGCCGCGCCATCTCCTCGCGCTGGAGACGGGCCACCGCCGGATTTTAGCCCCGCCGCCACCATCCCGGCGGGCCACGCGGTTTCCGGCGGCGCGCTTCGGCGGCGGCGAGGTGGGGGAGAGGAGGGGAGGGTGACGGCGGCCGGGGAATAGGGTTCGCGCCCGGTCGCCCGCGCGTGGACGACCGTGGGCGTCGGGCTTCCTCCTTATGCAACCTTTGATATTGGTACAGTGTTCTTCGACAAAAATAGTATGTCTTTTGGCAAAAAAAAAAAAAAAACGATGACACTTTGGGTTTTATAGCCACATGATATACAAACTTGGAAATTGCTGGCTAGTTTGCTCATTATCCAGTACATGCGTCTCAGTTGTTTTTTTCCTGTGATGGAGGGTGTAGGTCGTAAAGTTTATTTTTGAGGAGACAAAAAAGGGTTATCATGATGGTATATAACTTTTTCTGAAAGTGACACTGTAAAATTGTTGAAAAAATAATACTGTAATAATTATATCTCTCAAGGCGTACGTGACCCAAGACAACGTGCTGATGTCGACGCTCTCAGTGAGGGAGGCCATCTACTACTCAGCTCACCTGCAACTACCGGACACAATGCTGGTGTCGGAGAAGCGCACCCACGCTGAGCACGTGATCCAGGAGATGGGGCTCGATGACATCATGGACACACGCATCGGTGGCCGGATCACTAAGGGCATCAGCGGTGGGCAGCGAAAGCGGGTGAGCATATGTGTGGAGATGCTGACACGGCCACGGCTACTCTTCCTTGACGAACCCACCAGCGGGCTTGACAGCGCCGCCTCCTACCACGTTATGAGCCACATCACCAGCGTTGCTGCTGGGGAGGGCATGACCGTCGTCGCCGCTGTGCATCAGCCCGGCGAAGTCTTCGAGCTCTTCCACAGCCTCTGCTTGCTCGCCCATGGGAGGACGGTCTTCTTGGGGACAGTTTCTGATGCTACCGAGGTAAAATTTTCCTCTTCCAAGACTAATGAATTGGTCATCTTCAACACCTTGATGCAGACTTGTTTATATGCGCGTGTACAGTTTGAAAACTTACATGGACAGCTTTCTCAACCATCTATTAAAAAAATTAAATGTCTGTTGGTATCATGTTGGTGAGAGAAAAAAATCACGCCACTGTCACCATCAAATATAGGTAAGTTATCACCCTAACCTTCTCATCATACAAGTCATCATCGTGCACCCCCCATCCAGAGTTTGCATTATTTCTGATTTAGGGGAGTTATCGACCCCAGTCGGTACGACGGGTTTTACTACGGTAACCACTCATTTATTACCTACAAAATTTACAAAACAAAACATGAATTCAAACGAGAAGACAAACTCAGATTGAAATGGGTAACTGAGTTGTATGTATTGATAAATCGATATTTATAGGTAACGGGAGTTTATTGACAAAAAAGAATCATCGTCAACATTTGCAAATTATAATCTTAGGGGACTAAGATTTTCTTTTATATGTTTATCTTTTTTCAATTTAATGCCTCCTTTGGAATTGAGGGACTTAAGAAATTTTGGAGGAAATGTAATTAAATCCTTGTAAAATTCATTGTTCCTAAGGATCACTAACAGTTGAATTTAAAACCAATATAGGCGATTATTGTAGATAGTTTAAAAACAAATAGCATCTGATAAATACATTTTTAGCTAACTTTTTTACTAACTTATGCAAAATTCTCATAGCAACTTAATTGTTTTAGGTAGAACCATTTGAAGAACCTGTCCATCACAAGGAATCCTGTATAAGCTTGTTAAGGGGCGAGGTGGGATCCTATCTAAGCTTGTTTAGGGGTGGCTAGTTGGCACGCACGCGTTGGCTGCGTAAGTCGCTTAGCCGCCGATTAATGGCACTGATTAGCTCTAATGGCATTGATTAGCGCTAATGGTTAGTACTTTTTTTTGAGAATATACATAAATAATTTATTTCAATGTTTAAAAAATAGTTGAGATTTTTGAATTTGTAGTTCAAGATTTTAAAGTTTGAGTTAAAAGTTTTGAATTTTGAGTTGAAAGTACTAAATTTTGATATGAAAGTATTTAATTTTAGGTTGAGAGCTTTTTAACATTTATTTGAAAGTTTTTAAATCTGAGTTGAAAGTTTTAAAATCTTGACTTGAAAGTTTTTAAATCCAAGTTGAAATTTTTCAATGAGGGAAAGGAAAGGCAATTAGATAAGGCATGCGCTTCTTTTAAAATTGAAGGTCCCCCGTGCGAAATACATAATAAGACCATAAAGTTTTAAAAATACACTGTTCTAGAACAGGTAACAGTGAAGATTGCAGCAGTGGCTTGGAGTTTGTCCGTGCCCTAGCAACACCCGACATCATAAATATGAAGAGCCAAAAGGACAACTATCAATAGAAACAAAACAGAATGTTGCTTTTTTTTCCCTGTGTATTTTTTTCTGTTTTCCCTATTAATCTGCTTAGATAATTAGGGCATGTACAATAGTTGTCAATAGTGGTCTCTTAGCGTTGCTAATTAGGAATGCTTGTTGACATGGAAGAAAGAGACAAAGACATCATTATCATGCATAACAACGGCTTAACAACGACTCTTAATCACTACAATATGAAAATATGGTTGCATGAGGGTAAAAAAATAGAAAGAATATTAACAAAGGGAATATTTTTTTGAGTTAATGATTAGAGCCTTTGTTGTCTTGACTATTGTAAAGACACGGTCTCTAAATAATCTTATACTATCTTCGTTTCAGGTTATAAGACTTTCTAGTATTGTCTATATTCAAATAGATGTTAATGAATTTAGGCACACATATATGTCTAGATTCATTAACATGTATATAAATGTGAAAAATCTTAGAAAGTCTTATAATATAAAACGGAGGAAGTATTTTTTAAGAGGCCATACTCGTCTCTACTATTGAACATACCTTAGTAGTACTAAAATATTTGGAGGCCCCTAATTTTTGGTGGCCTCAACAGGTGCACACCTATGAACCGAAGCTAGTCATTCTATCAACTCATTCAAAAGAAAATATTTATATATATTATTAACACATAAAAGAACCTTCAACATATGCCCGTTGTAAAAATAATAATTTGTAGGCTAACTTATTTATTTCTTGCAGTTTTTTAACCTGAATGGTTTCCCATGTCCATGCCTGAGGAACCCGTCTGAACATTTTCTAGGAACAATCAATAAAGATTTTGATGAGGTATGTAATAGTTCAAACAGTTATATATTTATCGCATGTCCTCAACTTTCATTAAGACAAAAACTATATGTAGGAAATTGTGGAAGATTCCAGATATAGGAGAAAAACAGCAGCTAAAGCAATAGATACCCTGACAAATGCATATCAGTCCTCTGCTTATTCAGAAAAAACAACAAATCAGATAATTCAGATGAAAGAAATGGTAAGTAAATTGCATATTTAGATATGGTGCATACCTTCTTGGATAATTATGTTTCTAATGTGCGGTGTGTTAAAGGGTGGAGCTCCATTTAGGACGAGAGAACGGGCCAGCTTCTGCACAAAGCTCCTTGCACTCACCAAAAGGTCATTCGTAAATATGCACAGGGATATGGGGTACTACTGGATGCGTTTTGCTGTTTTCACCGTCGCTTGCACATGTGTTGGCACTGTGTTCCACCATATTGATAATAGTTACAATTCTATACAGGTAAATTAAATTGCTTAATAGAGGAATATATTGTTTTCTTATGACCACGTAGAACTTTATTTGAACTATCATTGATACAAATGTTGTTCTTAAACTTTTCAGACTAGATGCAATGTGATAATGTATATGACGATATTTCTAACTTTTATGGCCATTGGAGGATTCCCTTCTTTTGCAGAGGATATAAAGGTGATAAGTTTGTTGCACATTGCACCTGATGGAATTAAGTTTAGCCAGTAGCCAGTAGGGACTGTCTAATATTTTGTTGTGATTATGAAATAGTACATAATCTTTCGGAAAAAAAAGTACTTAACCATCCATGAAGTTTCCGTTATTTTTTCCTCGAAGAAGGGAGTCATCAATGTAACTAGATGAAACCGCGTATTGCTACGGAAGTTATATATAATAATGATATAAATAACATGATAGCTAGACGATATAACTTTATATACTTTATATAATTTTCTTTTTATGGACCACGGAACAAATAAGCAATTAAGCTGATGTTGTTTGTAACAATTTAAATTTCAAAAGCAAAACTAAAGCGATATGCCTCAATGATACAATGAAAAGAAGAAAGATAATATAGATTAATCATCCAAAGATAAAATTAAGGTGATATAGATAATTTGGACCATAGATTAATCATATTTGAGATGATGTGACTTAATGAGAGAAAAGAAAAATAGCATTACATATACTTCGTGGGGATAAACTTTATAGATATATAGGATATTACGGGCCTGTTTGGTACAGCTCCAACTCCTAAATTTAGCTCCAGGAGTTGAGTCTGGAGTGGAGTTGTGGAGCTGCCTAAACTCAGCTCCACAACTCTAGTTCATTTTGTGAGAGAGCTCCATCCAGCTCCACTCCCAGTTTTGGTGAAGCTGAAACTGTTTGGCTGAGCTCCAACTCCAGGAGGGGTGGAGCTGGACCTGGAGCTGTGCAAAAAGGCCCTACATAAACAGATACTCCAGTTGTCATTCTAGTTTTGTTGTAAGTCAAACATCTGTATATTAATTTACTATTACCTTTTCGAAATTCATGCAGTTTAACACCAAAAAAAAATATATGTTGTTAGGTTGACCATAGGAAATACTTTCCTAATATATAACCGACATGCTGGATTGCTAGAAATTAATGATCATAGATAGAAATAATATTTAACTCAAAACAAAACTACAACAAAAAGTAATTTGAAACAGTGGAGCATTTTAAATTGCGTTATAAAATATGTGGATATGCCACTAGGTTTCCCTATATTTATTGAATGCTACTGTTTTTGTCAGAATTGCTAAAATGACACTAGTTTTATGCAAAAGTTGTAACTATGCCACTCTACTGTTAAATTGGATTAACGTTGTCAAGTCAGGATGGTTAGACTATACAATAACAACAGACAAAAATGCCCCTTGAGTAAAATACAACAAAAGGAGAAAATTTTGTGCTAGCCATCAAATTCCTCTTTTGCCAACCTTTGTATCACTTTCCATGTGTACTATAAGGATTCTTCTCTTTTTTTTTTTTAGAAAACATAACTATTAACAATATTAAAAAAAAACTACCAGTTGTGGCAAGTTTGCTAGGTAAACTTCAATCTGATGGCGCTATAGCAATTTGACAAAAACAAATTATGGCATATTGACAAATGGAGCATTAAAGATTGGTTAAAAATGTGATTCTATGTTATTCCTAATCATATATATTTAGAATATGTATGGTCATCACAAGTATTGTGTTTTTTTTTGGCAAGAAGAAACTACACTATATAAATGTTTACAAGGAAAATGTATTCGGTCAATGGTTCAACTTGATTTAACTTGATAGAATATAAGGTATTTTCTTCTCTACACAATTAAGCAGACCAAAAGAAATAATTCTCTCTTTTTAAAAAAAAATGGTGCCGTGTCTGTTGCACATACCTCACCAAAATCTTGTGTTTGTATTTGGAATTCAGGTATTCAGGAGAGAGAGACTAAGTGGCCACTATGGTGTCACCGAGTTTGTCATCTCCAACACTCTCTCGGCCACTCCTTACCTAGCCGTCATGATCATAATCCCCGGCGCAATACTGTACTACCTCACTGGGCTAACAAGAGGGGGGAGCAACATCGCCTACTTCGTCGTCACCCTCTACATGTGCATCGTGTTGGTCGAGAGCATAATGATGGTGATTGCCGCCGTCGTCCCAGACTTCCTGATGGGCATCGTCGTCGGCTCCGGCGTGCAGGCTTTGATGATGACAAACGGCGGCTTCTTCCGCCTCCCGAACCAGCTCCCGAAGCCGGTGTGGAAGTACCCTTGCTACTACATCTCCTTCCATAAGTACGCGGTGCAGGGGTTTTACAAGAACGAGTTTGTCGGGCAGACATTCGCGAGCGATCAGCTCATCATGGCAAATGCCACCATTACTGGCCATCAGGTTCTCGAGGCGTTGCAGGTGGAGATGTGGTACTCCAAGTGGGTAAACCTCGCCATCCTGTTTGGAATGGCGGTGATATACAGGATGATGTTTTTCGCAATTGTCAAGGTTGCGGAGGGAATCAGGCCAAAGATGAGAAGGATGAAATGCTCTCTAATTTAACAGTTGCCTTGATCTCTCCCGTTTCTTGTTCTTGTTTCCGAGAGATTTGCCATGTCTATCGTCAAGTTCAAAATGCACTTGATCTGTAACCCGTAACACTAGATAAAACCTGAAGTCAAATAATATAACAATGGGCTCACATATGAGAAACTGATCGATGTTCATGTACATGTACTACTCTTGATATAACTACGGACTCGTATGGTGGGGCTTTAGATTCTGATTCTTGGTGATTGTGATTCAAAAATCTCTCTGAATCTGGTAATGAAGAGAATAAAAATCAGTACAATGAAGTGCTGCCTAGCAGGTTGGCTCGCCTCCAAATTAGTACGATAGAGGAGAATTGAAGTAAAATCGTCCATGTTACCCTGAATTCAATATCTGTTCTAACTGTAATTTTTTTTAATATTAATATATAGTAGATAAGAATTTTTTTAGGATTAATTTAAAATGTCTAAATATTTAGCACTATACCGACTGCTATAAGTTCTGGATGCCTGAATATATGATTTGGCATTTGCATTATGTGCTATCTCAGTACATTTAAAGTAAACAAGCTTTTTTTTTTGAGCGATTCGATATGTAAGCTTTTCAATGATTATGCAAGCCCTGGAGCAAACGTGATTTTGTTCATTCGAAAAGATTTGCAAGCTTCAGATCTCAAATACAAGATCTGGAACACAGTTATGCACATGTACCAAACATTCATGCATTAACCTTGAAGTCTTGAATACACACATTATTCAGCTTGGCAAGAGCATCATGGCATGGAATTCTAATTCCTGCTGCATTCACACACCAAGAGACATGATGACAAAGTTCAGAACTTCAGATTTACGAAAATTAACGGTTGACCTTGGTGGCATCAAATGGAGCAGAATATGACCGTACATACACGATCAATTTGCTGGTTTGTCAAAAAGAGTTACTTCTGTACATCAAACTAGAGGTGTTGCCAAGCAAGTAGGTGAGTCAGCGACAGTTTTAGGGCTCTGCAGAAACCAGGCTGCAAATGATGGCGGATTTCGCCTGAGCCAGGCTGAGCCTTTGGCACTTGAATTTTGTCAGACACCTATTCTCTGCATCTCTGCACGCAGCGGGGACAGTTGTCATTTTTATCAATAAAATCAGATGAGCATCTTTAACTATGTTGTGCCAATGGGTAGTTGAATGACGCAAACGCTTTCAAAAATTGACATAAGAAAGCTGCTTACGAACTAGTAGCAATGTTCTAAAATAAATTATGTTGTTCTATTTGGAGTTTGGTTAGATGATTTTTCCTTGATCAACATGCAAACAGAAAAGTTAATATGTTATTGTGTATTCCACAAAATATATTTGATTAGAAAGGAGTAACGAATTTCCATGCTTTCTCTTCCATAGCACTGAAGCACTGAGATGTTCCTAATAAGATGGCACAAAAGTTTATGCCTCTTTTTTTTATGGAAGGTTAACAGATATTTATGAAAATAGAAGGATTAGGGAAAACAACTTGTACAATCATACATGTTCACGAGGTCTCGTTGTGCATCAATTCATTAGCCGAATTGTCTCTGCTAATTCCTAAAGCAAACACGCAGATATTTAATGTATGAACTATGAACAGTTTGATTGAAGAATGAGTATCAGAAGCATTCAATCAGATCTTGCATGGCATGATGAGCTTCTGAGCTTGTATCAATTTAGCAAACTGGAAATTAAGAAATTAACATAAATAACAAATAAATAATTAAACCTAAACAGAAAAAGAAAACCTCAAGTACTGCCAAATAAAAATGCATAAAATTTTGTGTACTTATGAGAGGAGAGGTCAACAGAGCCATGCATTTATAAACAAGAGTTATGATTACCTTCAGCATATTATAAATTATACACACCATATAGAGTTCTTTTCCAGGATTTCGTTGCACATGCTGATGTCATCAGTCATCACCCCACATTTGATGGTATGGTGTAACAGTGGAAAATCCTCTCCGAACAATCCAGAGTTGCTGCAAATGGCACATGCAGGTCAACAAAGAGCCATGCATTTACAAACAAATGTTATGATTACCTTCAGCACATTATAAATTATACACACCATATAGAGTTTTTTTTCCAGGATTTCGTTCGACATGCTGATGTCATCACCCCACATCTGATGGTATGGTGTAACAGTGGAAAATCCTCCCCCAAAGACCCGAACAATCCAGAGTTGCTGCAAATGGCACGGGCACCCACTGATCATACATTGGAAACAAACGGTGTACAGCAGTTAGTGCATTCTCTAAGAAGTCGATCCAAGCACAAAATTAAAGCAGCACAAAAATAAGCTTTGATCATTTTGTGCATGAGAATATAATTCTTTTATGGCAGATATAAACACAAGGTAATAAAAAGTTGAGTATATTCTTAAAATCCTTTTGAATTCCTATTCCAAGCTTCAATTTCAGGTGTAAATTGTCCAAGCATGTGTACCTAAAGCATAAAAACTGCAGCCTCTCTGAAAACTAAAAAGTCTACTTTAGTCTGTGAACATGATAATTTAATTAGAGTGGACCCACCAATGCGGAAAGCTTGCGCGGACCCAAACAGTACACAGCTACTGCAGACGGCAAATGCCCTTGGGGCTTCTTCCTCCAAGGCTCTGAGCATCACCAAAGTACGCGAGCAGGGCACCATGGTGAGGGTGGAGGCATTAAAGAATAGAGTAACAGATGAATGGCACGGTGCATTGGTTCAGTCAAGGGTATGGACATTTGAGCCAGCGTATGATGGAATAAGTGAGCCCAAGTGTGCATGAACAGCACAACTCCCAAATCTACAAATCCCACACTCTCAGTTACCCCATCCCCCTACATGCCACCGTGTGCAAGCAATTCATTAATTTGGCAGCGTAGCGACTGACAGAGCCACAGGATGGCAAGGCATATCGCGCATGGCAGATGGTGGCAGGCTGCAGATAGAGCTCGCAGAAGGCATTGCGTAAAGGCACAAACTGTGGTGGATGATGTGGTTTAGCCGGTGATTCCACATGGCCCAAGGGTAGCAGCAGGTAGAAGCACACGGTACACAGCCTAGTGACCATGTGCGGCATGCAAGTGTCCAGTGAGTCCATACGGCCTGAGGGTGTTGGCTAGGCTGGCGGCTGCACCCTCCTGAGGCACACAATTGGTTAAGATTATAAAAAAGTGATGTTTAGAAGAAACATTTTGTATCCAAGTGTGACATTAAGCTAGTAGATTGGTAAACATTTTGAGAATTGAAACTGGAAACTAGGAATGGATAGTCTGGTAAGCTAGCAAATTAGTTAAAATTTGACAATTGAAATGGAGAAGTGGGAAATGAGGGAAAGAAATATGAAATAGGAAATTGGGAATGCATTATCTTGTAAGCTAGTAACTTCACTGAAATGTGAAATGGGAAATTGGGAATGTATTTTCTGATGATCAATAGCATAAAACTCGACCATGGGGGGAGACATCCCCAATGCTTTGATTCTAAGGAGGTGCCATGCTTCGAACCTGGGTTGGACGGTAGTTTCAAGCACTCTAATCAGTCCACCGTGAGAAGATTGGCAATGATCGATAGCATAGTTTGTGTGATTCTTTATGACTCAATAAGTTATTGTATTTTCACTCTTGCGAGTCCGCCACACCTAGAATTCAATTCTGGGTCTGCAACTAAATTTAGAACAATACATAGGAACATACATGGATAAGAAACCTAAATCATGTCCAGATAAAACAAATACAGAACTTCAAACTTTTTTGTATAGAATAGTTCAATTCCCTTTTAGAGGAAATGATCTAACAGAAAGATTTGTTTACATTATGAATTCCTACCTTAGCAAGCAACAATGAATGCTTAAAGTGTAAGTACATGTGATTAACCGCATAAAAATAGGGGGGTCTGCATAACATCTTCTGTAGACCCAAAAAAAGTAATTCTAAGAAAGGCATAATAACCTAAACAATTTTCAGCAACAATATTAATGGGTAGCAGAATGAAGCAAGGTCAATCACCAAAAGTTCCCGCCACGAGTTCTTGTCCTCAATTCGTCATCCAGAAACTTACAGGCAGCAGAGGTGCATATCATCATCTACTGCAACAAAGTGACAGGGTATAATGTGGTTTATTTCAGAGGGGACAAACTAGAATTTTCATATACATGGTGTACAAGTACTAGCTTATTCAACTTACTGCCATTCCTCCTGGAAATTCTTCTAGAGTTCTAGTTACCATCATTCGTGGCAACATTTGAAAAGTTGTGGTTCTTTGCAAGGAATCTCAGGTTCTCCATCAGCTCAGATCGGGTTAAGAAGCGCATATCATCGTTCTTGGTCGACGTTGTTAATGTGCGAGGCAGTTCATCAGCCAAGTGAAGCTTTGTGAGTGACCTAAGATTGTCGGTCAGCATAGCTTTGCTGAAGTGATGCGGAATGCTGCTTACTGATGATCTTTCAAAAGGGCTGGGTGGCACGTCATTGATAGTCGGCTTATGCCGTGCCAGTGGGCTCTCGCCAGGGTCACTGTTAGCTTTCCGCTTCTTCTGGTGAATGGCCTTCGCCGCAATCGTGGCAGGCTTTTGGGTGGCTGTATGCGGTGTGATATCCTTGACTAACTTGAGCTGGGACAACTTCTGAGGGATCGCCACAGCCGTACGATAGTCAACTTTGACAGCAGCACTGCCAAGTCTCGAGGTGAGCATCTGCGGGGTGACATCCTTCACCAACTTGACCCAGGGCACCTGCCGAGAGATCGGCACAGCAGTACCATGGCTTGCACTGGTGGCAATGCTAGCTGGCTTCCCAGTGACCATCTGGAGGGTGGTGTCCCTCACTAACTGGAGCTGAGGCACCTTTGCAGAGATCATCGGATCGTTGCGATCACCTGTATTGGAAGTAGAGCCAACTAGCTTTTGGGTGTTCGTTTGTTGGCTGATGTCCTTAACAAGCTTCACCTGCGACACCTTCTGAGGGATCAGGGTACCAGTAGAAATGATTGCATTGGAAATATCACCAGCTGGTCTTGGGATGTCCTTCGTATGGGTGATAGCACTGCCGGACTCGAATTGTGTCGCCTTCACAGGAACCAAGACAGATGTACCCATGCCAGCACTGGCAGCAGTTCCAGCATTACTCAAGGTGTCATGTGGTGCAGAACCTTTTAATCTACCCTTTCTTTCAGTTGGTTGAAACATTTCAGAACCAGCATGGTTGAGGCCAGAGCCCACTGGAGGCTCTGGAGTGGCACTCCTGTCATTAGACAGTGAATTATGAGCAGTGTCTGGGGTCACTGGCATGGATGCTGCTATAAAACCTGACAACAAACATTTCAGGATCAATGCATGCATCAAACAGCAAATGTTCAAAACAGGATTTACTTAGTACTCCCTCCGCATATTATAAGTTTGTAGAAAAATATAGCAACATTTCCAATACGAAACAAACATATTATCAAAATATATTAAATGTTAGTTTTAATGAAACTAATGAAAAATATAATTCAAGTACTAGCAAATTTGATCATAACTTGTGCTACATATTGGCAGAAACTTACCGAGAATAAATTTCCAATAGACATATAACAACTGCAATCTATTCAACAAATCAGAAAAGCCTAATATCATACAAATCATGTGGTTGAAAATTTCTAGTATGGTGATGGATCAATTTTTCACAGTTGAAAAATGTAGTTGCTGGTATTATTTTAGCAGTGGTGGATCTAACATGGGACACCCCCAAACTTTTTGCGAACCATCAAACTGTTATTAGTATCAAGAAGCTTAGGTCAATGCAAATTCGAGAAAAAGTGTGTGGATAGAGAGAGATGGGAAAGATAATGTGCGTAATGGATGTGGACGAAGCAGCAGGACGAACGACACGACCCTGCTCACTCTCTCGCACGATGGATGGGGATCGGCGCAGGCGGCGCCGCGGCGATGGCAGTGGCGGTGGCGGAGGATGTGGTCACCAGGATGGATGCGGCAGAAGCAGCAGGACAAACGACGGCGCCCTGCTCGCTCGCGGGATGGATGGGGATCCGCTGAGGCCAGAGGAGGAGGGCCCCATACGGCAGGGTGCACCTGCTGGCCGAGCTACCTGCCACTGGGACCCTACCCCCAGTGTATGCTCTAGTAGCTTAGTTGCACGCCTCGATGCCTCAGCTACTTGCCTACCTGCAAGATAACCAAGTGATCGATTTTTTTCTGGTTTGTTGCATAGCTGCATCTTTGTGGTAGTTCAAGGAAATCCCATTAGTGGCACCAAATCTCAATGCTTTTCTCTCAATTACTGCTACTTAGTGCATGCCATCTCATCAGCTCCCATGAGTTTATTTTCAATCACTTGCTAAAACTATTGCTAATTACATTTTCAAAGTCGCATTTATGCTACTGCTACACACATACTCCAATATCTGAGAACAAGAAGGCTTTATTTTGTTCATTACGATTTAATCGTCAGAAAAAACTAGAAATATTCAGGTCTCCTAATTCCTGATGAACAACACATTACGTTAGATAACTTGATTTTGTCGTGTGATGCCGTCGGTGGCCCGCTGAGGTGACTATCTCAAGCGATCCAAACTTGAATAGCTCGACGAACACACATTACCACCAAGGCACTGACCGATGCAGTGAGGAATTTAACCCTAGCACTAGCTTCAGTAACAAACCTTTAACAAAACTTACGGAGGTTTTGGTACATACTAATACTCTAATTATTAAGCAATATTGTAATCTTCTTATGACTAACTACGTGAAAAATCTGCAATTTTCTGATTGTCACACTGATTTTCATCCGTATCGGTGAGACCGCATACGCGTTTCCGTCTCCATAAGCCGTGGCCAACTCGGTGTCATACCCGGATTGAAAAACTTCCCCAAAAAACAGATAAGAAAAAATCCAAAATCTCCCTAGTTAGACCTACTCAAAAAATAGCATCGCAAATTGCATTTCGGCTCATTCATTTGCCCAAAACAACCACAGCATCTATATTCCGTATCAGATTCAGATCGGAGCATGTAGACGAAAAATAAAGGAAGAGTGATGCATCCACGAATCATGTGCAGTAAGTCCACTAGTTGCAGATCGATGCTAACCACATCCAGATTGAAGGAGTAGCGTGGGTAAGGAGGTCTTCTACCTGCCCGCCGTCGTCACGTCCTTCCTTCCCGAGCGCCGCCGAGCCGCCCGACGCCGCCCCTTCCTCCTTCCGGCTCCTGGACGCCAGGCGTGCGTCGAGCTCGCACCACGCCGTCGCCCGAAGCCGCCCCGAGCTGCGCCGCCGGCCCAAAGCCGCCGCGCTCCTATCGTGGCCGCGCCGCCGAGCACGGCCGCTCTCGCCCCCTCCCCAACCGCGCCGGAGCCCCCTCCCTCTACCCGGCGCACCCCGGCACCCCGCCCTCCGGCGCCCTCCTGCCTGCGCCGCTCAGGCCGCGCTTCGTCGCTCCGCTGCCGGCGCTCTCCTGCTCCGAGGCAGCGGAGAGAGAGAAGAAATGAGCGAGAGAAGGAAGGGAAAGAGAGAGAAGAGAAGAAGAGAGAAAGGGAAGAGAGAAAAGCGGTGGGACTGGGACCTACCAATGCTGGAATTTTTACATTTCGATCCTTTTTAAAAACTTATTTTACAAATAAACTCTTGAAAAAACTTAATCCAAGAATGATCTTTTTTTTTTTTCACCAGAGTGGCTGGCGCCGTCAAAGTGACACCGTAGCAGTAAAGCATACGTAGAACGAGTGACGTGACAAAGGGGAAACCTCAAATATATATAGACAGCTAACACATAAGCAGAGAGCGTAGGTTGCAATTTTAAGGCATTGCATAACCTGTTTGCTATGAACTTATATATCAGTTGCTGGTGGCTCCCTGGACCTTCAGCACTAGCACAACTATGTGTCTTACCAACCCATGAAATCCTCCGCGTGCCACTAGACCTCTTAGTTGTGTGCACCTTCCATTTGCACCGTGCGTGTTCACATTTAACAGTATACCTCCTATTTGCAGCGGAATTTACAACACGGTATGGATGATGGTGCACGATGGTGTACTCCTGGAGCCATAGCTTCAATGCAATCATGGATGGAAACTCCAAACCCATCTTGAAACCGTCCACCTGGAATGGTTCTAGCAACTGATCTAAGTTGATGCCGCCATCTAGTATCGCACCATGGGCATGTGTTAGGTCCCTAAACTCAGGAATGTCCGACTTCCTCCCAAACACCTTCTCAAACGCATGACATTCCTCTAATGCTAACTCGCCATTGTTAGTTAGTGGAGGGAATGGACGGTTGTTGATGCGAAAACACACACTGGCCTGCCAGATCTGCTTAACTCCAGTACAGGTCCTAAATCTGGGTTCAAAGGCGTGCCAGTTGATTTGATCCTACAATCAACAAGAAAGAAAGACAAGAAAACCGAGGTTAAATCCATAATCGATAGCCGATCGGTAGGAGCCGATGACATATCGTCAATCATTAAGCCGATGCTATTGGCACTAGATCGACAATGAAGAATAAAGCAATGTAAAACTAAATCTACTCGATCGGCTGTAGATATCAATGGTATATAATCCTTTTCTCGATGTATATTTAAACTAAGTGATTGGGATAAATCAAACAGCAAGCCGAGACAGTATAAATCACTTAAGTCTAAAGATACATTAAGATAATGATTATATGTATGTTTATAGTATAGTCGATCAAATAGATCTAGCATGTATCAGCTAATACTCCGATACCACTCTATATTAAGATATCAAAACAGACAAAATATATCAATCAACAAGCCTAATATACTTCAATGCTATAAGATCTTAATATAAATGGCAGATTTAGCATGTCAAGCAAGCATACAAGGTATAAAATAGCTAAATCAGGTAAGATCGGCTGAAACCCTGATACTATCTCTATTAATAATCATAAAACAAGCTAGATATTGTAATTATGAATATTACTTAATAGATCGAACTCAACCGATGCAGCATTAAGCATAAGAATAAATACAAAATCTAGGCAAGATGATGAAAATCTCTAAAAGATGGTAGATATGCTATGTAATCTAGATCAACAACGAAATCTAACTCTGTCGGCTATTACCCAGTAATGAATGTCAGCCGATTGCGGGTTAGACTATGAAACCGGTGAAGATTATGAAGCATATATGATAACTCGACGATTTAAATAAACAAGATTAGAGTATCATAACGATGGAAGCACTAATCCCGAGAACGCAAGCCGCCATGACAAGTTTACCTCTTGTTGAAGATCGAAATCGATGCAGCTCAACTCGAAAGCAAGAACTTGTCGAAATAATGAAAGTAAAAAAAGGGTGGCGATGCGCCAAAAGTGTTATTAAACTGTTGTTATCAAATTACATGGGGTCAGGTTGTATTTATACCCGAGATACATGATTAGTCCTTGCCGGACAGGACTCCTATTTATAACAAACTTCTAAGATACGAAAGAGTTTTTACAGCAAACTCTTGCTGAAACATATCTCTAAAGAAACTATTTAAAATATCCTAATTAATAGATACAATTGCCTATCTGAGAGCTTATCTCCATCATGACAATCCTTGTGTAGCACGTTGATCGATTCCAGAAATGGTTTTATAACCATCTCAACGAAATCGGCTGTATCGGCTATCTTCTATCCGATCCATCTCAACCGATGCCCTCACAGCCGATGCGCAATTTGTTCTTTGAACACAATCCTTCACCAAATCCACTTTGATTCCAATGTCAAACTTGGTTCATGATTTACCAAATTTGGTCATTAACACATGCCCCCCAAGTCCGCTATATTGGTAATGTTGTGGACTTGCTCAATTTCCTTTTTCGAGTATATGTAGGGTTTCCTTCTTCGATTTCGTTTTGGCCGTTACCGCACTTTCTTTTAAATAGTAACTACCGCTTCACTCTTTTCACGGCGTTACCTCCGTTTTCACCGCTCTAACCAAAAAACTTTCCCCAATCTTCTCCGGCGACCCCCTCGAGCTTTCCAGCGATCCCGAAGGCGATTCCCTGCAACGACAACTTCCCCGCTGACAATGTCAACCTCCGTCGATCCTTCAAACGCGCCAAACGCCGAATATGCTGAGGTAAATATCATCGGCTAAATCTCCCTCTTTTTCGCACTAGATTGATTCTTCCTTTGCTCAATCTTCCCTTCTTTTTCTCTGTAGCATCTCACTCATCAAGTTACAATTCCCAGCATAGTCCATGAGCATCAGTTTTTCCATGGTCCAATCGGCAATCTAGATCCTACTGAGTTCATTAATGCCGAAACCAATCGGATCCCCTTTAGATTAGCCAACCCAAACTTAGGCCTCTGGAAAAACACCTTCAAATCTTGGCCATCAGCCGAGAAAAGTTGGCCAACTTGGTACAAGCGGGTATCGGCTAGCAAGCAGACCCATTGGGATGAAATCGCATAGCCCATGCTCTAGCCCTGACTGCAGCAGATATGGCTAAGGATGAATCCATGATGTCGGCTGCAACCCACTTTTGGTCCACTCCTCTAAATTCTTTTCTCTTTTTCCCAAGGACCAATGACTCCCACTCTTCTGGATGTCACAGTGATAACTGGTTTAGACATAACTTCATCGGCTAATCCAGTCAGCCTGAACACAAAACCCAATTTTGAGTTCAGAACCAGGAGCATAGGTGGTTGGTTAGGGTTTGTTGCAAAAAATATGGGCACTGGACCAGTTTCCCCAAAAGAGCATACAACCTTCCTTCTGATGTGGCTGGAGAAATTTTTGTTCTGTGGTCCAAGCTGTGGTCCCACTACCAACTGGCAGCACTTAGCCGAGAACCTAGTAGAGAAGAAACAATTCCCCCTTGGAAAATACTTACTAGGTTATCTATACCAAACTCTGAGCACTGCATCGGCTAAGATAGCCTCTGGACTGCAAATCAGCACAGGTGACCCTTGGTGGCTCTTGCAAATTTGACTCAATCTGCATACCATGAAAGTCGTTGATCGACTACCGCTATCCGATGCAGAATTTCCAAGACTTGAGCCAATCACCAATGAAGATGGGGGAAGAAATCACCAAACGCCGGTGCATGTCTGTTGGAGAGGCAGCATCAACCAATGCTGGATCCAAATTATTGGCTGAGCTCTTTAGGGACTGGTTCACAAATTTTTATGATGGCTTCCCAAGGAACACTAGTCTGATTTGCATATGAAGAGTTTGCCGACTTTGAGCTCCCAGCCGATTTCCGGTTTGATGAGATTAATTTTGATAAGTTTGATAAATCTAGAGATGTATTCTCAACAGCCATCACCCCTTGCATACTCCCTGTTAGCATTCATCAAGGCAGAAACATTCAAATTTCCTATGAATTCTATTATCCGACAAGTGTTGCAAGAATATTAGGAATGGGCCAACTACCGATCAGTTTGTTCTTTGCCGACAAGATCCAAAGCGGGGGAGAGATCACATCGGCTCTCATGATGGATCGGCTGCTGAACATACCAGGACCCACTCTGGGGAGTATTGAGAACATCAAGCTAGCCGTATTGAGGAGTGCAGCATTTGACCGATGGTGGATAGAATGGAAGAAACACCTGTTCCATCAATCGGCTTCCATGTACTTGACAGATTTATTACCTGAAGCTATCCCTCAAGTAAGTATCTTTATCTTTGCTAATCTTATTAATTGTAAGCCGATGCATCAATCTTAACCATTTTGTCTCCCTTTTTGCAGACAACAGAATCATCCCCTCCTCATCAGAGTGAAAGTGGTCTGGCAATCCAATATGCTCTAGGGATCCTCCCCAATGGTGGTGGATTGGCTCCTTCAGTCATCGGCTATCAAGCCCCCAAGACTTCAACATTACTGCATGGTCAACCTCGTATGCCGATTGCCTCTGAAGCTGGCAAGAAAAAGAGACCGAAATCGGCTGTTGCTCCATTGGCTGCATAAAAGAAGTCCAAGAAACAGAAAACCGCCGTTGCCGATGACTTGCCTTCTATTGACCCAGATGTGGCGCAATTCTTGGATGATGAGGAATTATAAGAAGTTGTGGATGAAGCGGCTGAGAACATTAGTGAAATAAGAGAACAAACACCACCAGCCGACATTCCTGCTCCTCAAAGAACTCCATCACCTCCAGCACATCCCACTTACAAACCAAGGGTATACATTTATTCTCAATCCATTACTCAAGTTTTTATTTGTATGCCGATTCTTAACTTTGTATTTTGCAGAAAAAGAAGCTGGCTTCCAAGAAATCACAGGCACCAATTCCACCAGTTAAACCTTTATACTTCTTCAAATTTTCCTTTTCATCTTTCAAATAGCCGATGCTAACCCAAACTTGTCTTTTTTTAGCCTCCTCATTCTCCAACTCCTGTTCATGAATCAAGTGAGCATACTCCATCGGCTGCAGGTAGCCATCATGTGGAGGAAGAAGTAGCACCAGCCCCTGCCATCCCTGTAAGTGTTTCTTTTACATCCATGAACCATATCGGCTATCATGTTACTTCTACTAATCAAT